CTATCTATCTATCTATCTATCTATCTATCTATCTATCTATCTATCTATCTATCTATCTATCTATCTATCTATCTATCTATCTATCTATCTATCTATCATGTGTATGAGAGCTCGGCACAAATCTTGACCTTATCTGCAAGCTGACACTCACGTGACCTTAAGGTTTCCTGGAGACGCGTGTCTTCGATTGCGAACATCTTGCGTGGAGATGGAGATCTTCATGTGTGGATCTTTCTTCCTTTTCTATTACTATCGGCCCCCTTAGCCATCCTCTGGCAGGGTGGGTGGTTGGAAGGTGCTTTTGTTTGGTCCCATGTCTTTTATTACCCTCATTTATTACCTGTCTTGCTTTTTTGCATGATGAAGAGCATTCGTTTCCCAACTTCGCAACCGTTTGATCATGTTAATTGTATCCATATTGCTTTTTGATTAAATGTATTGTTGTCACTGTACCGATTCGCCGCAAAGTTCAACTTATACACTCGGTCAATTGATTGTTTGTACGGGTGGCTTAAGAGCGCCCCTGTAAGAATTGTATCCTTAAAAGTGTCTCTACTGTTAATATCTGGGTGCCTGCTCTCCCTCAAAAAGTAGATGATCGTTGCTGTACCCGCGTGCTGGCCTTTAACAGAAAGGGAGGAGTGGGGGTGGCAGTGGTGTGCTGCGATGGTTCTCCTTGTGCGTTACTATTACCATTAAGGATCCGATCCTACGAAATCTGGCATAATCTGTTGTATAATGGTTGGGCTCTTCATGCAAACACGCCCCCCCCCCCAACCTCGTCTCCCTCCTAATAAAATGTGTAAGATTTCTATCGAGGGAAGAAATTGTATAATGTATCTCATAGATTCCCACTTAGGGGAGGCAAAACTATTGTATCATGCATCTCTGCCTCTATGTCGGGATGTACCCTGCTTTGCTCTAGTAGGCCAGGCAGGGCTGAGTACTTCCCCCGACTCCTGGACAGCGTAAATTGTGTCGATGGTGATGGTAAAACATTTATAACATACTGTCCACAAAAGCTGAGATTCTAAAGAATGTTTCTTGTTTGCTCCACAGAAGCCAGCCTGAGCGGAGTAAGGGACCTGACGGAGAGTCTGTACCAGGTCAGGGAGGCTCAGCTACGTCACAGAGCCGTCTCACAGGTAGGTCGAACGATTGAGCTATTAGCGTTATGAATATGCTTCTGTCTTAACTCTTTTGGTTGTTAAAAAGGAGAGGGGGGGGGGGGTGTTAAATAGACCTACTGTAGACCAGCAAGTGGTTTCTCGCTGTTAATGGTTAGTAGCTATTATTGCCGTCTGTACTTTGAATTACGTGTTCGGCCTATTTTGTGATAGTAAAACATTAATAACATACTGTCCACAAAAGCTGAGATTCTTAAGAATGGCATTTTTCTCTATTTCCGTCCTACATCCTTCTTCTTTACTGTTCTCATTTGGGCCTTTGGCTTCGACTTCGAAATTGGCCATCTGTATCTATTACTAGAGAGCATTGAACTTGTACAAAAAGGAAAACAAATGTCTTTGTCGCTTGTTTGTTTCTCTCCTTAGCTGTAGCTTTTTTCTTCTTCTTCGATTGTTCAATCTCTCGTGCACTTTTCGATCACCAATGTGAATGTTTTTTTTCTGTATCACGCTATACTTTGATGTCTTTTCACCGCCATCTGAAATTTGTGTCTTTATTGCTATTCATTTTGTTGCTTTTTGTTTTCTATTGCTTAATCGTATCTACTGGCCGGAGGGCGCCACTGTTAGGTTTTGTTTCTTTACCCTCCCTGTGATATTTATGTCTACTTGTCTTGCTTTTTCTTTCCACTAAATAATCATAATTGTGTCTATATATACCCCCCCCCCATCCCCCTTATTCAAACAGTCGCGCGCATTGTGCAGGTGGGCAATGGACGTTATATGGTGTCCTCTGTTTCTTCTACTTCTTTTCAGCGTTACTTTTGTTATCTTCTGTTTCTGCGAAAGCTGGGCATCGTATTGCTCGATATGTGGTCTTGTCTTGTCAGACGTGTTCACGAGAACATTCCAAGATTAGCTGAGTTCTTCTAATATGAACATTTGCCTTCCGTCACAACAACGCCACAATGGGCATTTGGCCAAAGTTACTCATTAAAGTCACATTTTGCAGTAAGTGTGGGCACAAGAAAAAGCCACTGGTACGCCCACACCCACGTTCATTCCACACTCGAGGTTGCTGTTGGGCATTCATTGAGCACGTTCTGTTCGACAGAAATAACTTTGTATACGAGGGGTACACCTTTACAACATGCACGGTGCGTTTGTTTTTTGCCATGGATTGTAGCGAACAGGATCTGACGTACTCGAGGCGTTAACGTCTGTCTAGTGGATGGCTCGCTGTGCTGTGGGACTACATGAGCGATGAATGAGTTGACATCGGCACTGTAGGCGGGTGGTTGGAGGGCTCAACTAGTTGGTCCTTCTTCTTCTGTTTCTATATTTATATCTGTCTTACCTTTTCCTTGCACTAGATGATCGCCGTTGCGTCCTTCTGCGCACCCAATAACCCTCAGAGAAGACCGGCTTTGGAGGGTAGAAAAGGGCTGCTGAAAGTCCCGTTTGCGTGACGTGTTTCTGACGTCATGATATGACATTGTTGTTTATTTTGTGTGTGATGTGTATCATGATATCATTTTAAAGTCTTGTCTGACCTCTTGTGGAGCTCTCATTCAGGACTCCGAGCCCAGCTGGTGGGTATTAGAAAGGGGGCCCCGCTTCGATTTGAAATTCATTATGGTAGGGTAACTTCATGACCTGCTCTCCCCGGGTTTGTGTGTGTGTGTGTGTGTGTGTGTGTGTGTGT